TCCCAGGACCTGGCTGACAAGGAGATTTAATCCCGCAAACCTGGGTTAGCAGAGGCCGCTCCGAGGCCAGGAGAGGGGGAAATCGGAGGAAAATTCCCAACTCACCAGGGCAGCCCCCTTAGCCACATTGCCGCCCCATTGACCTTTTCCCCTGACCGCACCACGCCCGCTCCCAGGAGCAGGCTGACTTAAAAGGCTTGAGTCTGGCGAAAGTGGGGGAGCAGAGGCCGCCCCCAGGCCAGGCCACTGGGGCATGGGAGAAAATCCTTTGGCTCGCCAGGGGCACCCGAGTCCCCGGTAGTCACCACCAACCCCGTCCCCTGACCGCACCCCGCCTCTAGTGTGTCTGTCTATCTGTCGGCCTGCCTATCTATCTATCTATCTATCTATCTATCTACCTATCTATCTATCTATTCGAGGAAGGGAGAGGCTAATCTATGTCTGTGAGTGTCTGTCTGTCTATCTAATGAAGGAAGAGGAGGCTAATATGTCTTTCTATCTCTCTATCTCTCTGCCTATCTGTCTGTCTGTCTGTCTGTCTAATGGAGGAGGCAGAGGAGACTAGTGTGTGTGTGTCTATGTATCTAATATTGGCGGAAGCTAGTGTGTCTATCTGTCTAAATGAAGAGAAGGAGGGCAGTGTGTGTGTGTGTGTATGCATGTGTGTGTCTGCCTGTCTGTCCATCTCACTACTTTCTATCTAATGGAGGAGGAGGAGGCTAGGGTGACTCTCTGTCTGTCTCTCTGTCTCTATGTGCATGTAATGAAGTAGGAGGAGGCTAGTGTGTCCATCTGTCTGTCTATGTGTTTCTCTATCTAACGGAGGAGCAGGGTAGTGTGTCTATCTATTTAACCTATTGTAGTAGTAGGAGGAGTGTAGTCTCTCTGTCGCTATCTATCTATCAAGTGGAGGCATACAAGCAAGCTAGTGTGTCTTTTCATGTGTCTGTCTGTCTGTTGGAGGAGTAGGTTAGTGTGTCTATCTACCTACCTACCTAATTGAGGAGGACACGGCTAGTGTGTGTGTGTGTGCATGTGCGTCTGTCTATGTATGTATCTGTATCTAATGGAGGAGGAGGCTAATGTGTCTGTCTCTCTATGTATGCATCTAATGGAGGAGGAGGAGGAGGAAGAGGCTAGTATGTCTGTCTATCTATCAGATATCTATGTATCTATATATCTAATCGAGAAGAAGGAGGAGGTTAGAGTGTCTGTCCATCTCATTACCTATCTGAGGAGGAGAAGACCTGTGTGTCTGTTTGTCTGTCTTTATGTATATCTAATGGAGAAGGAGGAGGAGGCCTGTGTGACTGGCTATCTGTCTGTCTAACAGGAGAAGGAAGAGGCTAGATTGTGTGTCTGTCTCTCTATCTGTCTAATGGAGGAGGAGGAAGTCTATTAAGTCAATCTGTCTAATGGAGGAGATTAGTGTGTCTATCTACTTACCTACCTAACTGAGGAGTAGGAGCAGGCCAGTGTGTGTCTGTCTGTCTGTCTTTCTATCTGTCTACCTATCTAATGGAAGAGGGGGTTAGAACATATGTCTGTTTCTAAACAGAGGAAGAGGCTGATGTGTCTGTCTGTCAATTTACTTGTTTCTCTGTCTAATGAACGAAGTTTCCCAGGACTCGAATGACCTGGACGGATGCCAACTGCCACCCTAAGGCAGCAGAGTGCGCGCTTGAGCAGGCTGAGGGGTCTCAAGAGGAAATCCACAGGCTTGCCTGGGTAGCCCCGGCCCCCTACTGCCTACCTCTCTGCAGCCATCATTGCATCCTCCACCGAACCCGCCCCCTAACCACACCTCGCTGGCCTCCAGGGAGCCAGCCTAAAACACAGATATGCACTTCAGGACCCTGGGGTAGCAGAGGCCAACCTCAGACCCGGCCAAAGAGGTGATGGAGGCAAATACAGGGGCTGGGTTGCGCAGCCCCACCTCTTCACTGCAGCTACTGACCTTATCGACCCCGCCACCAGGGGGCCGTCGGCCCTGCAAACACACATACTATCAACCTAGGGCAGGCCAGGCCGCCCTCAGGCCAGGCTTTGGGGACAAGGGAGTAAACTGATCTGCTCACCCAAGTCAGTTTCCTATCCAAGACGGACCTGTCAACTCACCTGACCACGACACCATCCCAAGACCTGGCTAACAAGGAAACTTCAATTCCCCAAACCTGAGATAGCAGAGGCCGTCCCCAGGCCAGCCCACACGGGAGATGGCAGCAAAGCCATAGGCTGGCCCAGGGCAGCGCCCTCTTCTCCCGCCCCCCCCGCCGACGCCGCCTCAGCTGCCGCCGCTGCGGTCTCCCTGCTGCTCCCTGACCGAACCGCGCAGGCCTCCAGGAAGGAGGCTGACCTCAACACGTGAGTCCTGCAAACCTGGGGCACCGGACGCTGCCCCCAAGCCAGGCCGCTGGCGAGATGGGAGTCAATGCGACGGCTTGCACAGGGCAGCCTCACTCCCGACACCCCACCGCCGCCCTGGGCCCTGACCCAAACATGCCAGCCTCCTGGGAGCCGCCTGACCTAAAGACGTGGGTCCAGTCAAACTGCGGCGGCAGAGGCCACCCCCAGGTCACGCTGTGGGGGAGATGGGAACAAACGCATGGCTCCCAAGGGGCAGCCCCCTCCTCCCGCATGCAGCGCGGGAAGGCCACGCAAGGCCTGAGGGCCAGTCTCGGCTGGTCCGGGGCCGTCCATCGCCCTCCCATCTCCCGGGGCTACCCCCGCTTTGCCAAAGCCGCCTATGAGCGGCGGCCAGGAAAGCCGCGGGGTTCAGCCAATACGAATGGGGGGGTAGGCACCCCAACCAGGGCGGGGGGCCCCGGGACCCGCCTCAGGGTCCCAACCTGGACGCGCGGCCTGGACCCCACCGACGCACCCCTCCCCTCACCCCCCCCCCCGGGCGCCTCCCCAACTGCACAGCCCGGGCCTCACCCGCCGACTCCCCGACCTGCGCGCCCCCACCAGCGCCCCCTTACCTGGCTCGCGAAGGCAGCACAGGCGACAGCAAGCGGCGGGAGGCCGAGACCCCAGGCAGCCTTCCTCCTCCGGGAGCTGGTCCG